GGACTACCTAATTAGTCATTTTGCATCGTGTTTTCGTTTTCCATTCCTTGGTTCACTTTGATCCGGTGAAATGCATTCAGCACCGTTCGTCCTCGACTATCAACGCCATCACTCACTCATTCGTTCTACCGTTCCGAACATATTTTTCTCCGTGTCATTTTACTTCCATAGAAACATCCATTGTGCTATCGTTCCAAGACTCTACTCGTCGTAGATCATCTATATGCCGTCGCCTTGCTGGCTTCTTATGCTTCCCACTGGTCAAACTGGTCATACAGCCGCAACTGACCGCGTTCGTGCACGAAACACGCTGCCTGGTTCTGTCGATTGGCTAAGCAGATCGGTCTGTGGCTCCTTGACCCTTTCAAATGTGTTCCGCAGCCGGTGAGTTACTTTACCGCTACATCTTTGAGTTGGGAGTTTTAATAGGAAAACTATCAAATCAATTTTGAATACTGCCGAGTGCTTCATTCACCCAAATCGGATGTACGCTATAAATTCGGCTGTGGAACATTTGTACACTCGTCATGCAAAACTGATTCAAATGGTAAGAGTTGATCACAACTCACAAACCCAACTCCCGCCACTGCATCTCACCTCTCCTGAATCACCTGTACATCTCGCGAGGAAAGTCGACTGTTCTGCTTTGATCTTTGACTGGTCGTGATTAGTAGGTCACAATTGAAACTATTGAATTCTTCCCATGTTTCCCGACAACTCAGAGCTGATGCACTCAGCCAGACCGAATAAGCTCTGCCACGGTTTCTTAAGTTCATCTTGACGACTGTGACGTGATTTTCAAGCTCGTAACAAAACGATCCCCTTTCCCCGTCATATGCATGCATACGTGCCTCCGGATTGGCTGTGTTCAATCGGTTTGTTTGTTGTTTAGCAGATTTGGAGTTTGTATGTCGAGATTGTGTAGCCTCGGTGGGATTCGAACCTACGCATGGACGCCGCTTACGCTGTTGTACAGCGCACGCTTTACCAGCTGAGCTACGAGGCCAACACTTATCTTTTCTCATTTGAATCACTCATCCAACTTGCAGACTCATATGGCATCCACCAGTTACCATGTAAGCTGACTGCCACGACAGGTGTTCATTCGAATTCACTGGAGTCCCACCGAATGAGCTGATGCAAGGCAGGCGGCGTCCGTGCATGCGTCATACATTTGACCATTTGACCCCGTCCCATCGGAATGGCATGCAGATGACGCACAGCCGATTTTTCTACTCAACTGTTTTTTCGGTTCTGGTGAATCACTTGGTTTATGTTTACTTGTATTGGTTGGATTCGCATTCGTTCAGAGCCAAGTATCCGTCAGCCTATGATCCCCTTTTCTATCTCTTGTCTGTGTTCCCATACATGTTTTGTTTTGAAATGAGGCACGCATCGTTGTGTTTCGCTGGGTCCGGGAATTAATGTGTGAAATAACTGACCCCGAACGGACAAACACACGCGCATAGTGAAGCACTGTTTTGCTGCGAGTTACAACTGAGGCAAAGCTGGCTTTAGTTGCTCGGACATTGATAGGATATTTCATCGACACCCCTGTGTCGCATCGTACCTTTGACAATAGTAGTTTTATTTTCCAAGTTATATTTATCGCCACTAGAATACCTTTGGTTTTCATTATTTTTTTACTGTACTGATGTGATATTCACGGGCTGCGGTGTTAGATGTGTGTGTGTGTGTGCGTGTGTGTGTGTGGTTATTGTTTCGTTCGATAGCTGGCATAGACGGGAAATGGATTGGAAACCTCAAACGGTACTAATA